AAAAAAAAAAAGCTCTTTAGTAAGGTATCTGACTCCACTAGATCTTTTGCTAGCCTCGTTCCCAAAAAGTAAAGAGGGGGTTAGAGAATCCAGAAGAATGTTCTTCCTTCTTCTTATGACTGCTTCTGTTTCTGTGTAGATACGGACACGGGTCACTACATGGAATACAGATCCGTGGATTGAGTGCGGGAAAATATCCAGTTTAGCTCTCATCCATGATCGTCAATGTTCGTCTGTGATAGCAATGTGGCACGTGGTTGTATTAATGTGGCGACTTGAAATTGCACAAAGCATGAAATATAGTCAATAATCTACTAAGTAAAGGTATTTGAAAAATAAAAATAAAGGTGAAACTAATACAGGGGGCAATATCAGTTTAATCTTAGAGTGACTGATGGAGGTGTTAATATTTATGTCAATCGAAACCTTATGTGACATGCTTGTACCTCAGTAACCACCGGTTCTAACGAAGTGGAGACATGTAGTGGAATAGAAGTATAGATTCGTGTATTATTAACCTCGCATGTAGGTGGAGGTGAGTGGTCACTTTCACACCTACCAAGTGAATACTCGAGTAGTACATACTTCTCCCTCATGATCATTTTATCATATCATTCACTGCAGTATAAGATCTGCACTTGAAATGGCATCAGTAGACTTGAGTATGAAGGGTGGGCCATAAAAACCGGCCCTCGCACTGCTACCTTCAATGATCTATTGTGCTTCCCCTTTATTAATCCTACACTTCGAATGAAATATCAGTAGACTTAAGCAGTTGTTTTTGTGAGTCAAATATTATTTGACTAAATAGAGCTGAGCAGGAGGCACTAAGGGATTCCTGTTGGGTTGTAAGTCACTCATGTCATCATGCCTCTTGCCATGTTGTGAAGATGACAGCTGAAATATGTATGATGCTGTACCTGTTGTACACATCTTTAAGGTGCACACAAACTACCTGAAGTGATATTATATGGTATCTGTGATATCAGTTCAAGTGCAGTTTATGAGGTGTCCGTTCCATTCCCGTGGTAAAGCTTATGGCATTTTTCCATTGTAATAAGGGATGTGGATATTTCAGAAGGTATGCGATTTCCAGCAGTAAAGATATTTTGTTAAACAGTATATGAATTACAAAGGCAAAAATAATACCGTCTAATGTGACTATTAAAGTTTTATCACTTGAGGACTTATCACCCTTACATGTTTCGATCCCTACGGATCATCCTCAGAGGGCTTCAGTACTTTCAGAAACTGCTATTACAATAGATGTTAATTATATAGATACACATATTTAATCCTGAAATGNCGCACAATATATGCAATGTTCAACCTTTCACATTCACAGCAGCCTTCCTGGTGTTAAAACTTTTTAAAGTTTTTTTTTAACTTTCTAGATCAAGCTTAAAATTTTTAAACCATACAGGTTCGCGTCAATTCTCCTATTGTTGTTGGAGTGTAAACAACACAGCAGGCCATGAATAAACACGGAGATACTAAGAATCTCCTCTCGCAAGATAAACAGGCGGCACAGGACCAGCCTCCTCCATGAATAACAATAGGAGAATTGACGCGAACCTGTGTGGTTTACAAATTTTAAGCTTGATCTAGAAAGTTAAAAAAAAACTTTAAAAAGTTTTAACACCAGGAAGGCTGCTGTGAATGTGAAAGGTTGAACATTGCATATATTGTGCGTTTTAGACATCATATGTGTATCTATATAATTAACATCTATTGTAATAGTAGTTTCCGAAAGTATTGATGCCCTCTGAGGATGATCCATAGGGATCGAAACATGTAAGGGTGATAAGTCCTCGAGTGATAAAACTTAAATAGTCACATTAGATGGTATTATTTTTGTCTTTGTAATTGTTAGTGTGACGGACCACAATGAAACAAATAAAAAAAAAGTATATGAATTATTTGTCCATAAACATTTTTAAACTGAGTGTTACTATACATTGTTGCATGTGTAGATGTAGGTATTAACTAACAAAAAAAATCAGGTATATGGATAAATGTTTGTTATCTGTCATCTGGGTAATGAACATCTTTTTAATACCAGTTAAATGTTTTAATCTTCCAGTGTGATTAATGGCAAGAGCTGTTATTCATTCTCTCACTGCTAGTCCAAATTTGCAAATTTCAATGAATTCTGAGATGGATAGAAAAGCAACAGCACTGGAGTGTCAGATAACAGCAGACACAAAACCATGGGTTGTTGCCAGTGACAATGTAAATGCAAATGAGATTAATGATACTGGAACAGATGTATATGATCCTCATCACAGTCGAACACTGTTTGTACGATTCCCACGTGGGATCAAAGATAAGTTGGAAGTGAAACGGTTACACCCTGGAATAGAGGCTGTGAGATTCAAACCTCGCATTAAAAGGTATTATTTTTAGTTATAAATGCCCCTGACTTTATTTATTCAGTTGACCTAAGTTGGAAGTGAAACGGTTACACCCTGGAATAGAGGCTGTGAGATTCAAACCTCGCATTAAAAGGTATTATTTTTAGTTATAAATGCCCCTGACTTTATTTATTCAGTTGACCTAAGTGTTTGGTATACATTAGTTTCCTGAATGATGGTCTCTCATAATTTTACGTTGATGGGAAATATTTTTCATGTAATATGAATTTTATTATTATGTTGTAATGTGAGGTGTTCTTTTGTTTATTATGCCTTTTTTGTATGAAGCAGATAAAATGGACACTTAGTGTGGAGTATTATGTACCTCCACGTTTTTTGTTTTCAGAATTACTGGTGGAGTTTGGTGAAATTTAATAGTTTTGGGAATGAGTATTCTGTGACGAATTTCATTTTGGCCATATCAGTATGTTATAACTTCATCTTTACATTAACCTTGAATGAAATGTAAATTTTCATATAAAATGGCTATACAAACAATTTTACTTGTAGAATATGTAGACTGTTTTTGTATGTGTTATGACTGTTGAGATGTTGAGTAAGCAGAAAAGTCACAAGTGAAATTTTTATTAAATAATACGTGATGTATGTGGAGTGTAATTTAAGAATTTTATTTTATTTGTAAACTTTGTTTATTAAAGAAAATGTTTGATATTCCAGGTGGTGCCATATTAGATTCAGCAGTGAAGAACTTGCTAAGAGTGCACTAAAGGAACTAAACCAAAAAGAAGTAAAAGGGGGCAAACTTATTATCAAAGAGACAAAGAAATATAAACTGAACACTTGTGAAAATGAAAGTAAGAAGACACCACAGTTATATCAGTAAGTTACTGTAAATTGATTTTTTCTTTGTCTTACATTTCTAATTTTATGTTTTCACAAAATGAAATATTTCAGCTTCATAGTTGTACATATGGTAAAAGGTAAAATTGTCCCCTGTGCTTAACTAATTAAGCACTATTCCATGAAGGTGTATGGGTGAGTGTATGTATATATCCACAGTTTCTTGACCTAGCTGGAGGTGAGTGGTCAGCTTCATGCCCCTGCTTTTTTACCCCTGGAGAAAATGCCAGGTGGCTGGTTGGGCTCCAGATCTGGTCTGGATGACATGGAGGGGAGAAAATTTTTGACCCTACCAGGACTTGGACCCTGACCCCTTCGTCGTCCAGCACATAATCGCTATACTGACCATGCTATCCTGGCTTGTATTTGTACATATGAGAGATGTTATATACATTTTCTGTAAGCTTAATATAAAATGTACCAGAGCATATCGGACTTCCTTTTAAAGGACAACTAATTAACTAGTTCACCGGCTTACTTTGTCATGCAGAGTCAACAGCTGGTAATTATCGAGTAGAAAGGAGTGATGTCCAACCACCTGTTCATCTGACCAGTTATGATCTGTTATGGATCTCTGTCTTGTATCCAGCTAGCAACCATGCACATTGCTATAGTTGGTGACTGAGACCTAATATCAGTCTGTGAGTCTCAACAAATGAGGTCCAAAATGGCAGTACTTGAGTCCCACAAGGAACTTGAAGTATGACAATATACAGGGATTGGAGAAAATAATGGAAGCCCTATAGATGCTGTACACATTTCTTTATTAATATGGTGTTGACCACCTTTTGCTTTCACTACGGCTGCAGTCCTTCTTGGAATGGACTCATACAATTTTTGAACAGTCTGCAGCGGAATTTTATACCATTCTTCTTGCAGAACATCTTGAAGTTGCTTTAGAGATGTTGGAGGTGGGAATCTGTTTCTTACTCTAGTCGCCAAAACTGACCAGAGTGGTTCATTGATGTTCAGATCTGGTGATTGTTGGCCAGGGAAGATAGTGAAGTTCACCTTCATCCTCTTCAAACTATGACTGAACAGTTCAGCTGTGTGAATGGGGGCATTATCATCTCAGAAAACTGCATCATATTTCAGAAATGTCTGGATCATGGGATACACCTGATTACCCAACCTGTCCATGTACTCCCTTGCAGTAATTCAGCCATGCAGACTAATAATGGGGCCAACGTGATGCTGTACCATCATATTGCTTCCCAAGGCATCGCAGAACCTCCTGCATGTTTCACTGTGGGAACCAAACCAGGCATTCTGGATAGTAGGCTTCCTTGGGTTTTTTCCAAACATATGCTCATCCTGATGCAGCGAACAGCACAAAGGATGATTCATCTGACCATGTTCATCATATCCAGTTATCTGATGTCCAGGTTTTATGGTTGTGAGACCATTGTTTACGCTTCTGAGCATTACCTTAATAATTAGAGGTTTAGCAATTGCAGTCCTACCATGGATGTTGGTTTTGTGAAGCTCATGTCAGTTTTTGTGGAAACAGGGACTTCAAGATGAATGTACAGTTCTGCTGCAGTACTATGATTTTTCGAAACAACACTCAAGGTACAGTTCTCTCCTTTTGCCAGTGTTGATTTTCTCCCACTGTTCTTCACTGATGATGTCTGCCCATGATTCATGTATGCCCACATAACCTTAGAAACTGTCGCTCTCAGTATACCTAATAATGTGGCAGTTTTTACCACATATATTCAAGCTGAATGCACACTAATGATCTGTCCTCTTTCAGAATTGGGTAAGTCTCCCATTTTCTGATTCTTTCAGGAACTGTTACTCAGCACAATTACTAATGCACTGACACAAGCATTACAGAGTGTAAACAAATGGAAGAAGAACATTCAGTGTTGCCAACTGGAGTTCTTTCAATGTAACCTACACAAATTCTGTTCATCAGTTTCTTAGTGTTTCCATTAGTTTTCCATCCCCTGTATATGTGGCTGTTTTGTTATTTGACACTGTCCACAAGTGGGCTTATTGATTAACTGTAATTTGCATCTCTTTGAGTGACAGTGACCTGTGAATTTGAATAGTTATGCACCTAGTGAAAACAGTCAATGTGTGAATGTGATGTGCAAGTACTAGATATCTCTGAGGTAATACCATTTTTGGGGTGTAACTTTGTATGGCTTAGTTTTGTCTTTTAGGCAGGGTATGAACTGATTAGTGATACTGTTACTTTAAAACAGTGATGCCATTGCTTAATGGGTTTTTATGGTGTGCTGTGTGTAAAAACTGTTGAACTTTCCCTGTGATACTGCAGGAAACTAGAATATTGTGTTCTTCATTTCATGGTGTTTTTAGTTTCTGTGTGTTGTTGGATTTGAGGGTCCCTCAGCAGTGACCATAAATGTTTCTATCTTCTGGGAAATAATTCCATGGTAATCAGGTCAAATTCAGTTGTGCTTTTGGAGGAGAAAGTTCCCTTCATCTTTGGGGTTGAAGAGTAGGTCAAGCAAGAAAGCATGATGAAGCAGTCACCAAGTTTGCTACACACTGGTTTCTTGCTAAGCTTACTCTGTGACCCTGATGATGGAGGCAGTATGTTTCTCTGTAATGTCAGTTGACTTTCACTGGACCACATGGCATTGTATCCCAAAAGACAGAACTCTTCTTTCTTTCTGTGCATTGCTGTTTGCAAAATATTCTGCATTAGAAATTAGAAGGTGAATTTCATTTGTGGCTCTGGTGGCATGTTGTGATGCCTATTTTCATTAAGTTCAAAGCAGACTTTGTGTGTTTATTGAAAAATAACCTGTATGGAAATTAAGGTCTATGAATTGGCTTTCTTTGCAACCTTGTAAATATTGTAATATGTGCAATTATTACCACTCTTCATGATCATTGTACAGTAATCACTTCTTAACATACTTGGTCTGACAATAAAGTTTGTGAACTCATCATCGTGAAAGTGCTACATGCCTCATTTCTGAATATCATTGTAGTCACCTTCAAAGTACTACCCTTGGGAAGATATGCACTGATGGCAGTGCCTAGTTCACCCTCAAAACAATTTTGGAACTGGTTTTGTGGAATGGCCTTCAGAGCTGCTGTCATATTACTTCTGATGTCATCAGTATCATCAAAATGCCTTCCTTTCATTATGTCATTTATCTTCAGGAATAGGAAAAAGTCATTGGGGGCTAGATCCAGTGAATAAAGAGAGTGTTCGAGCACAGTTATTTGTTTACTAGCTAAAAACTCCCTCACAGACAGTGCCATGTTAGCAGGTCCTCATGTCAAGATCTTCAGTTAAGATTTTCCTAAGTGTTTCTTGGTCAATATTTGCTTCCTGTGCTGTTCTCCTGACAGTCAGCCAACAATTTTCATGCACTATTTGTCATGCTGTTGCAATATATTCTTCAGTTCTTCTCGTTGCTGGCCATCTGATCTCTCTTCATCAGTGACACTCTCTTCCCTACATCCTACATCGCATGTTTGAGTGCAATGAATCCTGAAAAGTTTTTATTATTTAGAATTCATCAACATATATGACGACTACAGATTTTAGTCATTTTAGAATGAAGACATCATGGCATGCAGTACAATAGTTTAACGTGCATAAAGACACCTGAGGATGGCACATTAGTGCTGAAACATGTAGTGTGGAAGTGAAGAATAAGGTGAAAAAGTGTATACACTGTAAGACGGTTCTCATAAACCATGGACATACTGTATTGCATCGTACAGTTCACTTTTCCTTGTCAGCATGGACAAAATGGACTTCTTCTGTAATTGCCTCTGGGAAAAAACGCTGGCACTGAAAGGCCAGTCCTGGCACAGGGAGAAAGGTGCCAAAGGGGAAGTTAACAGTACTGCTGAGTCTGAACAGTGATGGCAGCAATAAACAGGTGCTGATTGTGGTTGGAAAATCATTGAATCCACATTGTTTTAAAAATATAGAAGAATTTCCTGCAAAGTTCTCATTCGTTCATTCATCAGTAATCTGTCAAGACGACAGGTCCACAGTCTCTTCCAAAACAGTTCCTCCACTTAATGCGATCTAGCGCTTTCTCCTTCAAATGAAAATATCCTCTTCTGTCCCCAGGGTTATCCAGCATCTTCTTACATCTTCTTCCTCGTCTTCTGGTCACTTCTATCCGCCCCTCCATCTTTCCTTCAATAACTTCTTTTAGAAGGCAGTTACCGCGTAAGATATGACCAATCCAATTAGCCTTCTGTTTTCTTATTTCGTGTAGGACATTCCTCAGCTCACTGACTCTAAATAACACTTCTTCATTTCTCACATAATCGGTCCAACTGATATTCTCCATCCTTCTCCAACACCACATTTCAAAGCTTTCCAGGTGTTTCTGATCTGCTGCCCTAAGTGTCCAAGTTTCGGCCCCATACAAAGCAATGCTCCAAATGTAGCATTTCACTAGTTTCTTTCTCAAATTTAAGTCCAATTTGCTGGTAAAAAGATTCTTCTTGCTAAATGCAGCTTTTGCCATGGCAATTCTAGATTTAATTTCACACGTACTATGCAAATAAAAAAGCATAGATGACCATGATCATATTCACCAAGTTTGTAAGGGCAGTGGATGCCCCCATGGATGTGCAGACTAGAAAAATTTTCTTGTCTATGGACAGTTGTGCTGCTCAGTTGTAGGATAGATCATCTTGAATGAATGTGAAAGTTACGTGTTTTGCACCAAACTGCACAGGTATGTCACAACCTCTGAATTTGGGCATCATAAAATGTTTCAAATGGTATTACAGGACACACCTAGTACAAAAAGCTGTCTGCTGCATGGATTCAGGAAAGGATGTTGAGTTAAGTCAGTGTTATGCAATACAATTCACAGCAGTGGCTTTACAATAAGTCATGCAATCCACAGTTGTGAATTGTTTTCATCATTGCAGCTGTGGGCTTGAATGTCACACAAAAGCGTACATGGACGGTACTGAGGAAGAGGCTGATGCAGTCCATGAGGACTGAATTTGGCTTGACACTGAGGATGATGGCGGCCTCAGTTCACACTCTTCTGTAGACATTGAGCTTGCAACATGCACTGATTTCAGCATTGTTGAATTGTGCATTGATCACAAGGGTGGGCGAGCGGTGAAGGCGAGGGAGGAGCTAACCACGAACCTAACCAGTGCCAAGTTTTATTGAAACACATGTTGCTTTCAGAACTGTTTAATCACTCTTTTACCCCAATGACTTTGACTGTTTTGTCTGAAATGTAATGTTTCCCCTAACCAATTTACAGTAACAGATTTCTTTGTAAAAAATTATTTAGAAGCAAGCATTTTGAAGTTACTTTTATTTGTTTATTATTTTTGTAGGCCTAAGTAGAAAATGTGTAGTTTTTGTGTGTTTATGATACATTAAATATTTTCCCACAGTTGTTTACCTTTTTTGATGTTTTTTTAGTTTCCCAAGCTCTCTTGAGAAATGTTGGGTAAAGGGTTCAGTTTACTTTTCTCCTTGTAAGCTATACGATATGAGTTGTGAAAAGGCATTCATTAAGTGAGATGAGAGATACATGAGAAGAATAACCAGTGTTCAGATTTTGGGTGTAGCATTGGAATGTTCCTCTTTACCACAATGTGCAAACCCCATTAAACCAGACCTGACTCCAGCCATGGAATACATAGGCACTTTCTTTCTTTGATGCTGGAAGCTAACCACGTAGCTCGTCCTTGCTAGTGTGCTTGCTTTTGTTGTTGGATCATAAATTTTTTTGCAATTATATTGTTAGCATAGACTGTGGGGAATAGGAGTTTTATTTAATTCCTTAAAATATATTATGTACATGAGTACATGTTTTTTATATCTACTGACAGGCTGTATGTGAAGAATTTACCAGAAAATGTGACAGAGAGTGAAATTACCTCAGCATTCCCTGGCTGTATGCATGTACACATGTTCACACCAAAGAAGAAGGGATCTTTGTAAGTATTTTTGATTGATATATGATCGAATGGAAATAAATTTGAACCTCTCTTTCTCATAATTTTTAAAGAAAAAAGTGAAATTGGTTTAAGAAATGTTATAATATTTTTATGTGATATGGCATATACAAAGTGTTCAGTTGAGATGGAAATGTGCTGCTTGCAACAGTGCTTCCACAGTTTACCATGTGACTTTATGGGCAAAATTACAGGATATTACATACATGTGGTGCTGACTCTTCAGTCTTTGCTGTAATGGAACTTAGAGCAGGTTGCTCTAAGAAGGCTACACAGTTTTACCATATTGTATAAGGACTGCTTGAAATAGAACTGGTTACTGTAAAAAGCCTAGACATACTTAACCATATTGTATAAGAATTGCTGGAAGTGACCCCCCTTCTTTCAAGTATGCCTTGTAGCACGTAAACAATTATTGTGACACTTTCTGACATTCATCTCTGAAAACTAAGGAACTGTGTGTGTGCTTCAGCAGTGGGAGGGTTATGTTATCATGCTAGAATTAACCACAGTTTACTGAAAGAATATCAGATCATTGACTCGATGTGTATGTAAACATGCCACACCCATACTTTTACACTGTGTAATGGCTTTTGTTTAATGACATCGAGAACAGAAGTGAATTCTTGCTGCATAATTTGGTTGTTTAAGTTCTATTATTCAGAAAAAAAAATTAATCTTGTGGCCTTCAATGTAGTTCCTGACGAGACCTCAGGTTCTTGTGCCTGTCATTTTAACTGTTTGTGAGGACTGATTTTTGACTGTGTTTGAATATCTTGAACTGTGTCTTCACCACATTCCTCCTGGATGGTCTCTCTTATCATAAACTGAACCAGTGGTCTGCCACTTTTTGATGGGCTTTGATATGCCTGATTTTTTGAGAAGTTTCTTTTGTGTGAAGGATTTGATTGTGAAAACTCATTGATGAATTGCATACCTCACTGCAGGAGTAACAAATCCTACTTTAAGACAAAGGGATCTTTAGAAACAGAACCTTTAGTAACTACAGTACCAGTTGCTGTATGCTTGTTTACTGTGCAAGTGGTTCATCATGATGACAAGTAATGGGGTGAGTGCAGACAAGACCCTTGTCTATATTCACAATGTTGATATCATTCTTGTTTGAACTCTGTGTATAATAAACATAGCATGTGTACAAGGTGTATACCACTTCTGCTTAGTATTTTGAAATTGCTAACAATGAAGATTTTATGGCTTTCCTCCATCTGTTCATGCAGTTGGTGGGCTGGGTTACTTGATTCTCCTTGCCACCATTAACAGTGGCCCTTACATCTCTGACAGTATGCTACATTGGCTGAAGGAATCATTGTTGCATTGTTCAGCAGCATAGTGTGGTTATTCTGCAGTTCCTGCTTTACAGATAAATAATTGAATGCTAGATTACCGATGCAACTACATGCTCAGGTGATGATGTTTCAAACTTAGCTATTCACTGAGCTTTCAAATGAATAAATATGTGGTACAGTCGTTAAGTTCGTGGGCTGTGGTCTTATCGCATCATATTACAAGGCATTCACATACACTTAACGCAGTTCCACATCAGCCCTCAAAGTAGTTGTCGTTGGCCGCTACGCAAGTCTGCCAACGATGATATAGCTGCCAAAAACATAGCTGAAACATATTGGCAGGAAATTCTTGTACAGTGTCTCTTGTGGTATTGACGACCTCCTCAGACAACTGAAATTTACGACCACGTAGCTTTGCTTTCAAGCGGTGAAAGAGAAAGAAATCACATGGTGTGAGATCAAGTGAGTATGGAGTGTGTGGCAAAATGATGACCTGTTGCCTTGCCAGTTCCTCTTGGACAAGACCACAGCGATGTGCAGGGGTGTTGTCATGTAGCAACAGCCAATTCTTCATACGCCAAATGTTTCGCTAGTGGATTTGCCTAGTTTTTGGCAGAACTTTTTTAATTTAAATTCTCATAGTGGGGCGTGAAGTCCAACTGGGTCCACTCGGCACGGCGGCCTCTGATTGGCCTATTGTAGCCTGCCCCGGGTGATTATGATGATGGAGAATTTGGTGGAATGAAGATTGGAAGGGGAAACCGAAGTACTCTGAGAAAACCTGCCCCAGCACCACTTTGTCCACCACAAATATCACTTGACCAGACCCGGGATCGAACCTGGGCTGCCGCAGTGGGAAGCCAGCGACTAACCGCTTGAGCTATGGCACGGCCTTTTAGCAGAACTTGATGTTTGCCCATTGTTCAAACTGCCACATTTTTTATTTCTGCCACTTGCATTTAACTGCAGTTCACTATAGAGGCCATAGTTCTGCTTACACTGTTTGCACACAACTGCCTCTTGCTGTGACAAGAGATTAACTGACAGGGCATCATATCGTGCCCCAACCTATCCGCTGTAGTGCACTGCAACGACACTTTGCAGCCAGTCAACGAACTTATTGACTATGGTAGTATATTTCCATCTGTTAATTGTTCTTACCAATCAGTTATCTGTTTTTTCATAAACTTTACAAAAATAGTTTAATTTTTTAATATGTGCACAACACTACTGCGATTAGTTGTCTTGTGTTGTATGGAACAGGTGAGCAGAAATACACACACTGTCTTTTTCTTGTCTTGCTGGCAGTGTGGAAGATAACTCTATCATGCAGGTATTTTTGGGCAACCTGGTTTTATATCAGAAATTGGACGATTTATGCACTTCGCCTGGAGAATGGTGGCAAAGAAATATTTGTCTTTGAGATTTGAAGTTTTCTTGGCAGTGAAGATTCTTATGGATACTCTTTGTTCTTATAAGTGTTTTGGAGGAACATGCTGTGCCTAACACTTCTGCTTTGAAGGTGAGGGCAGTACTATATATTTTTCTAAAATGCCAGCAACTACCTACCAGACTACACGGTGTCAACCCAGAAACCATGATATGAATTTTTTGGTCTTTGCCATATTTCTCTCCAACTTACCTCTTAGAGGACATATTGCTTAGAACAATTTTCTGAAAAGGTCATTAACCCATGTCACTTTTCTGTGGAGCCTGATTTTTCTGTGCACTAACTAATGGCCCTTTACATGCACTATTATACAGAGTTTCAGATCTTGATTCTGTCTTTAAAAAAAACCAGTAATACACTCTGTTTGAATAAATAAAATTCAGTTGGCCTTGACTTATGTGTGTATATATGTGCAGGCACATACAAAGTCTAGTTTTGTGCTGCGTTTTCTGTGCCTTACCAATATAATTAAAAATGATAATTCAGTTTTTCAAAAGTAGCATGACTATTTTATAGCGTCTTGGATGGAATGAAGCAGTGTTCATGGGAAACAGAAGGGGGGAACAGATTTAACAAGAAGAGGAGAAAGGAATTAAACTTTTGTGTATTATGCTTGGAAGTATAAGAAGTCAAGTTCCATGCATAACATTTCATTAACATGAATTTTTGTTTCCCTGGCTTGAAACTGTTATACTGTTTCTATATACAGTGCATTCCTAGTTTTCAGCACATTTTGGGAATGGGATGTTCCAGGTGTATGAATTTGCTGGTGGCATGAGAAACTTAAAAGCAAACCTTTTATGTGATTTTCATCTTTTGCTAGTCTTTTACATATTTCCATTTTCTATTTCAAACATAAAACAACAAAGTTTTGCCTTAATTCTGCGTGTGAGTCCCCATAGGTGGCAGTGGATTGGTGGGTGAAAGATCTTGTATATGCTGTAATGCCATTACAAATTCTACTAGCCTCTACAGTGATTATGGATCACTCTTAACTGTAGTGGCACCTGCATGAGGTAGGATGATGGGTAGCAGTGTTAGTGGCAGCTGGGAGCGCTGCTGTGTGGCGGATGAACATATGCTGGTTGTGTGAGAATCCTGGATTCTTGGATACTCATAACCTGGCTCAAGTTTCCTATCCAAGCATTTTGGAGCATACTTTTTCCTGGAACAGATTAATAAAGACAGCCAGGATAGTGCAGTCAGTATAGTGACTGGCTATGGGCTGAAGACTGAGGGGTCGGTGTTCGAGTCCCGGTAGGGTCAAGAATTTTCTCCACATGCAGACTGGCTCTGGGGCCCACCCAACCTCCTATGTAATGGGTACTTACTTAGTTATGGAGCTGAGCCCTTCTTGAGGAGAAGCCAAATCTGCAGCTCCTCAAGAATTTAACCGAAGATAGTTGAGATAATAACAATAAAGAAATTGTGATAATAATAAAAAAGAATATAACATGCTCTACATTAATACAGTAACATTTCATATCATCGTGGACTGATGGACTGACATTTCCCCCTCCCCACACTTTCACTTCACCTCATTTATCACTTTCCTAACCCTTTTTTTTTTTAAATACTTGAACAGGAGAAAGTGCCTAAAGCATCTGCAGGTAGCTGGTTCCAGAGCTGGATGGTCCTATTTACAAAGGCATATTTTCCGATATCTGTCCTTTGCTTTTTTCTCCTAATTTTCCTATCATGGTCGACCCTGCTCAGATGTGTTAAAATTATTTATTTTGTAATAAATATAGCTTTTCATTTTGCATCAATACATTGCATGTTTGGTATGTTAATGTATTTACAGAGGAGCCATCATTGGATTTAAAACACTGGATAAGATGGAAGCCATTATTTCCAGCACCAAAGTGCATAAAGTTAGAGACAAGGACGTTTCTGTATCTTATGCACCTGCACACAGCCAGTTAAAACAGGAACAGCAGGAAGTAAATAATCATACTGAAATCTCAAAGGATGTTTCCCGTAATTGTATTTTAACAACAGTTTCCTCACCAGAGATTAAAATTAATTCTGTGAGGAAACAGAAAACTGTTCTGACATCTGAGTGTCCTGGTAAGATGGTAGATACTCGTCTTCCACAGTTCAAGAATGAAGGAAATGATAGAGACAGTGATGACAGTGGAGAAGATGGCGGATGTAATGAGGATACAGAAATGGACACACAGGACTGTACTGGATGTAATGGTGAGGGCACTGACAGTGCTGGTTCTGATGATGATAGTGATGATCTTTCACAGTATAAACCAATTAAATTGGAAGGCAAGGATACTAAAAATAGTGATGATTTTTCAGAAGACAACATAAATGAAATTAAGTTTGAAGTTACCGAAACTAGTGAGGATGATGGTGATGATTTTTCACAGTACAGAGCAATTAAATTAGAAGATAAAAGAGGTAAAGATGATGATTTTTTGCAGTACAAAGCAATTAAGTTAGAAGATGAGGTTACTGATCCTACCGATGAAGAAGATGGTGATTTATTACAGTACAAAGCAATTGAATTGGAAGGTAATGTGACTAAAACTAGTAGTGTTGGTGATGATGATGAAGATGACGACTTTTCGCAGTACAAAGCAATTGAATTGGAAGATGATATTTCTAAAACTGATGATGATTTTTCACAATACAAACCAATTGAATTGGAAGATGAAGTTACTGAATGATGACGATGAGGGCAAAGAGGTGTTTGTAGTGATTTTTCATAAGACAAAGCAGTTGCAACAGGTGGTGAGGTTATTGAAATTTGCGATGGAGATAGTGGTAGAATTTATGTTAGTAATGATGACTGAGATTGTAGTGACAGCATTAAAAGATGTTGATAAGAGTAGTCCAAACCCAGTAATTCTGAAGAGTAGCATTGTTGGTAGTCATTATGTGTTGCATCCTGTTGTGTGTCATTGAAAATAGTGTGTCTATAGTATGTCAACAAAGCAATTCAGATGAAAGTAATAACAAAAGTTATTTAGATTAATAATAATCACAACATGTTTTGACCCTTCTTGAGTCATCAGGTGTATCTCTGTGTACTTAGGTTCTGTAATTTTGTTCAGTGTGAATCCATATTTTTCTTCATATTTGACCATATGTTTATGTGATTATTGCTTAGTGAACCTCTGGTTTGTTTACTGTTCTGTTTTGAGCCATCTTGATATTAAATTAAATTTAATTTATTTTAAAATTAATTTGAAAGTAATAAGATTTAAAAGAATTTTAACACTACAATCTAGTGTGTATGGGTTCATATTAAATTGTCAAGTTGCATGTTTATGGATAAATAGTTTAAGATGGTTGTGAATGCCTATTTGACATTGTAATGATACACTGGCTATCCCTGTCTTGGTTCTTCTTTGGTAGTGATGTTATGGGTATCTTGCTCTGCATGTTCATATGTGTTACCTCTTTATTTATACCGTATAGGAGTGTAGGTTGAGATATATGTCATCATGCTTTCTTTGTGTTGCGTAGTGTAGCTCAACTTGTTCTGTATTTGGTCATTTAGACTTTATCAAAGTTATCTTACTTTTGGGTCTAGCCTTTGTTATTATTTTTACCTGAATTGTTGTGTTAACAAATAGAAATATACTATACTATAATATACTATATAATATACTATACTGTACTATACTATACTATACTATACTTGTTGCAGTGTACAGTATACACCATCGTCAGAATCCTTTCAATTCTATCAGAAATATACTATTTTATTGTTGGTAGTGATGGTAAGAACAATGTTGGTAATAGTCTTGATATTGATGCAGAAAATTTAGATTTTGAATATAACAACAGTTGTAGAGAAGTAGTTTGTTAAAAAACTTGCGTAAATAAATACATACTTCTGTTTAGCTGGTGAAACATTACATGAATTCAGTACGTGTATTAAAATTGCTGAGACAGTACTGTATGTTGATCAGAGTAAAAATGCAGCTGTATTTTAACGGGTTTGAAAACTTTACCTTGACAAAAATAAAATAAAATAAATCAAACCTAAGTAAACTACAAAACAAAAACTGATTTATTTCTAGTCACCTTTCTCATTATCCATTAGAAATCAAATGAGTCCATTTCCTGCTTACCCTGAGAAGGGTAGATCCAGAACCAGATTCAGACCTATCACCCTTAGGCAGCATGTACTCAAAATTAACCAGAAGATCTGAAGAAAGGTGGCTTCATCAGGGTGTAGAGTGGCATTGGTTGCTGTGGAGTCCCAGTACATTTTTCACAGTGACTGCTCAAATTAGGGGATTTATACAAATTTCCCCAAAATTAATTAGACTAATTTCTTGATTATAATTTAATTTGCTTATATTTGTTAATGCTGTCTAATGTTCAGTTATCTCATAATTTGTATATTTTTTTAACTTAACATTTGTGTTTCTTCGAAATGTGCAATGTATACTCCTTTAAATAATTTTGTGGGGAGAGTTAATCAGTTATTTTTAGTAAATGGTTTAAAAGGAAAATGCATATTTAGTCGTACTGCATAACATTTGCTATTTGCAATGGAAGAGACGTTAATGTAAATCACATAGTTTCCACAATAACATTAAATGAAGTTTCAGACCATACATTGAAAATGCTGCAGTTGCTTTAACCTGGAAATTCAGTGTTGTGTTAAGGAATGGATGTGAGGAACAGCCTATATGCTAGGAAACCTGCAGTACAGGAAACTTCATATAAAGTTTTATGAATATTGTTTTCATATTGTGGCATGTCTGCTGAAAGTCGGAATGGTTTAATCAACAGAGATGGCCATTGCAGGGCAATAGCCCTGTGAACACATTTCCACGGCCACCAGTTCACGTGACCATGGTCGTGCTTACAACAGAGGAGCACATTCACGCCTGCTGTGACATTACACAACAGTAGGAGTGCTGTGGCAAGGTGTGTTGCCATGCATTCCCGCACCAGGAGGACAGTGCTGCTACAGTCGGACACGTGATGTCACGTCCACATCAACAGAGGAATGGTGTTCTCTGTTTGAGTCCGTTCTGATGCTGTATCATACACCGTGAGAGGGTTAGTTAATCATGTAAAATATTTGTGATCTACGATTAGAGGATTACATGGAGACAGCACATAAAAATGATTGAAGCCAAGGCCTTAAGAACATTTATTAGAATCGACTCTCTATTCAGTAGTAAGCGTTTAAGTGCTAACTTTTACCCTCCATAAAGCACTGATTAAAAGGGGCAGTCAAATGAAAATGGGTCACAGTGCATAACTCACAGCGTGCAAGTTGGTAACACTGGTATTTGCTTACGGTACAAACACCTGGTGGGGACTCGGGAAAGCACAGTGACAACATGCCCTTGCACACTAGTCGTTTGTTTATTGTGCTGGAAGTAAGGTTAGCGCTATGTGTGGTCATCCAACATCAGTAATGGAAGTGGGTAAAGAAGAACAGTGAAGCGTAGTGCACTTTTTGACTGATGAAGGAGTAGGAGGATGAGAAATTCATCCTCGCATGTCTGTTGTTTACAGCAAACACAGCATGTCATGTTCACATGTGCTGGCATGGCACAAGAGATTCTGAGAGGGATGTGTGTCACTGCAAGATGATGCTGGTCCAGGACAGGCTCATTGTGTCACTCCTGATGTTAGTGCTGCGTTGGATGATCATATCTGGGCAAACCAATGGATCACTGTGGAAGAAGTTAGTATTTTGATGGGAATAAGTCACAGTTCCGTACACACCATTGTGACAAAACACCTGCTGTACCACAAAATCTGCATGCAGTGGGTTCCACATCAACTCATGGAGGAACAGAAAACTCAGAGAATGGCTGCATCACTGGGTCACTTGCAACCATACCATGAGGAAGAATATAACTTTCTGTCCCATATTGCCACTGGGAATGAAACTCAGTGCCACCATTTTGAACTCGAGAGCAAAGGGCAGAGCCAACAGTGGAAACATGAATTCTCCCCCACTGAAGAAATCAAAAGATGTACACACAAGTTCTGGTAAAGTGATGATGATGTTCTTCGACTGCAAGGGCCCTCTGCTTTTCGAGTTTCTCGAGCATGGGGCCACAATCAGTGCACAGCACTATGAAGACACTTTGCAGAAACTGAGGCATGCCATAAAGTCAAAACGCCCTGGAATGCTACTGAACGGCATTACCCTTCTTCATGATAATGTGCGCCCCCACACTGCCAACTCTGTGAGGAGCTACAGAGATGTGGTTGGGAAGTGCTTCAGCGATCCCCCTACAGCCCAGATCTCTCCCCATGTGATTTTCACATTTTTGGAGACCTGAAGAGAGACATTTGTGGACGTCGGTTTGCATTGGACAAAGACGTGGCTGGGTAAAGATGTGGTTCTGTAGACAGCCCACTAGCTTTTTCAAGGATGGGATTGACCATCTTATCTCCCAGTGGGATAAATGTATTAACAGTTTTGGAGCTTACTTTTGAGGTAAGAAATGTTCTTTAATATGTTTTGCCTTCTGACACATTTTCATTTGACTGCTGCTCATATGTAGTAAAGTAACACTCTGTGGTATGTCTTTCTTAGTATTTACTAATAAACCTTGGAGCTCCCTACATGGGCCTTCATATAGTATGTGGAATTATATTGTGATATTTAAATTTTGTATCTATAATTCCTGACCTTTTATTATATTTTACTTAAAATGTTTTGCGTAAAATTTTAAGCTATATTTGCACTATAGACCGTACATACAAATTTAATAATGCATTAATGCGTATGTTTCACCTGATGATGACCACAAGATGGTCAAAACATGTAATGAATAAGAAGTATTTAAATATTGTCTTTTAATTAATTTCTGATGAAACTGTTGTTATACACAAAATACTAATACATGTTACACACACATGGGCAGATAGATGAGGGCATACCCTCAAAAATTTAACTCAAGGACAGAAGCGCAGCATTTTCTTCAGCAGTTTTAGACACACCTGAAGATGACCAATGTTGGTTGAAACTTATAGTGTGCATACACTGGTGATGTAGAAATTTTAAATTTCAAAACTTCTAAAGGTTTGAAAAAGCAAGTTGCATGTAAGATGGCTAATTACTAATGGGGAATAAATTACTTTCTAGGATTATGCCTGATGTCAGGAGAGAGTCTAGAGTAACTCATAAGACTCGCCAGAATGAATGAAACATCATATCATTAGCCTACATAAAGTACTCTTCCTTGGTGCGCTAGCTTTTGGAATACTTTGGATGATTTTGATGTAATAGCAACAAAATTAAAATCACCTTTGCTCATCAGCCCTCTGAACTCCTATGTGTCAGGACACTTCTAACAGTATTTAAATTGAAACACAAGTGGAAAAGTTTACTCCAGTTTAATTTAGAGAATACATATTTTTTCTATTTTGCATACCAAATTTCCACTGACATTCTTTTTTTTACAGTTAAACATTTACTGTTGTGTAGATAATATGTATAATGAAAGTTGCAGATAATGCTGAGATCCATATTTTGTGTTATGAACTAATGTCTTTTTGTTCAGTTGTTCAATTTATTTATGTTCCATAAATCCAGATACATGTAGACACCGTAGGAGACAGAAAAAGTGAAATACAATATAAATACAATAACAGTCTAATTAAAAAATGAATAAGATTACAAATTACATAAATATAAGTTAAATGTACTTATGCCTCACAATTTGAGCCTGTTAACAGGAACACTGTCAATGAGTACATTGCTAATAAGTCATAAGATTATAAATTACATAGATACAAGTTAATTATACTTGTGCATCACAGTTTGAGCCTTTTGTCAAGAATGATATCAATGTGTACATTGTTAAAAGTTATGAAATATGTAAGTAAAAGTAAAAGCAAGCAAGCAATCTCCATTCATAGATCCATAGAGCCCCATAAGGTAGACTTGTGAATACAGTAAAATACGGTAAAAAATGGCAAGCGGTACAACAACAACAACATAGATAAAAATATTCTTCCAATGAGTATAATTTAATTGCTGGTATACAGTTATTTTATCTCATTGGCTATAAATTACTTATTCATTCATTCATTCCTTCATTTACACTCATTGAGCCTTACTTGGCTGGTAAACTAAAATAAACAGTGACAACCAAATAGATTACGTGGCTTGCCTGGGTACAGTTAGACAAACGCTCAAACACATATTGTCCAGACAACCGCTATGCAATGTGTGTGACTTCAAGCATGCATCAAACTATTAACGAATAACACTGCAATAAGCAAATATGAAATATACTGCCATTCATTAAACATGTAATGAGCCAGGATCTTTAATCAATATTGTGGTTAAAATATTCCTCCAATGAGTAAAATAGGAGTAGAAATCTTTTTAAAGCAAATTTATATTGTTTAATATCATGAGATATGTTCCTTATGCTAGGAGGGAGGCTGTTAAAAACCTTAATATCAAAATAATATGTTCCTTTTTGGAGTGCTGACAAATTGCATGTAGGATAGTGAAGGTTATTGTTGTGTCTTGTATTAATGCCATGAATTTGAGAGTTATTTTTAAATTGTTTTCTGTTTTCGGCCATAAATAACAAGAGAGAAAATATATACTATGATTAGAGGGGCAAAATTTTCGGTTTTTTAAACAATTCCCTACAAGTGTCTCTTTACCTAGAATTAGTGATGATTCTAATTGCCCTTTTCTGGAACCTAAAAGTAAGGATACTATGGGAAGACTTGCCCCAGAAGATCAAACCATAAGTCACTACAGAATGAAAGTATGAGAAATAAATCATTCTCATTGTTTCCTGTGACACATAAGGCTTAATAGCCCTGACTTCATAACAGGTAGAGCTCAATTTAGTCACGAGCCAGTCGACGTGTCCTTTCCATGACAACATATCGTCAATAGTTAATCCGAGAAATCTTGTGTTGTTAGATTTGGCAGGCTGATTGTTGCCATGGACAATGTGCATATCCATTGCCTGGCTAGTCTTAGTTGTAAAATGTATAAAATAAGTCTTATGAAGATTTAGTGTCAATAAATTGGCTTCAAACCAGTCATTTATGTCTTGGAAAGTTTGAGTAATATTGTTTTCATAATTTACAGGGTAGGAATTAATAATAATAATAATGCTAGTATC